TGGGAATCATCGATTACAACGAATTAACACTGAGCAATGGTGAAATGAGGTTCTACGAAACGGACATGGAATCATCATCCGTTTTATTAGATGCAAGCTTAGGAATACTATTTGACTGATTAACGAGAACCAACAGGTTCATACATCGACAACCTCCTCCTCTATGTTAGTAAACCCATCTAAATAACGATGAGACCAGTCAGCTGAGCGGAAAGTTAGCTAATTTAGATACAGTAACTACATAAAAACCCAATTTGTTATTGATTTTCTGCCCCCTTAATTAGTCTTTAACTGACTCTGGAGCTGTTGCCGGACCAGTGCGACCATTGTGTGTATAGTACGAACGATATGCACAACTATGGACAGGACGGGGATATCATTTTAGCTGTAATCTCAAATTATCGATTTGCTGTAAACACTGTTATAGATTTCTATTCTGGCACCGTATGCTATATGGTGCTTAGAATACTGTTCGCTTTACTTACTGGTATGATAACGAAAAAATAAAAAAAGAACTGTCTGGTCAAATCATCTGTGACTGAGCAGCATCGCACACCCACGCTTCCGATCAGACACTTAATCATTCCTACTTCAAAATTGTTTCATTTATCAGGAATATTAAGTCTTAACTGGTCAAGGCACTGTTTAGGTACTGCTAGTGACGAGCGTTCACGATAGACGAACTTTTAGATTTATTCCCGTAACTATTTTTGCTGCCAAGCCCGATATAGTTTCGAACCAACGACATGCATACCCATCGGGTAAAGGAAAAAGGACTGTATGCCATACATCATGGATATATTACAGCCCCGGTAAAACGCAAAGGAACTGCGACCTCCCACCGATACCATGATTTGATGGAGAGGGAGATATTGATTATGTTAACTCCACACATGAGTCATGTATCTAAAAATTGGTGTTCACTATGACAAGACAAATTCCGTGTATTTCATGTGCTTTCCTCGGCCTGTATGATCTATTAAACTAGTTTATCCGGGAAGGAATTAGTTGAGTACGACGTTTCCTAGATAAATTGCTCGGTGTCTATAGATGTAAAATTAAATTCCATGCGTGTATATACCGGACAAAGCCAACGACTCACTGAATATCGTCATTCTGATTAGCTTGATCTTAAAGCACAAATAAAAACAATCATGTTAGCAATAGATGAAGGATGTTTGTAATCTATATGCCCAACGATCAGATAAATCGAATTTGAAAATTATGATCTATTTCCGAATTGAATTTCCCATCCCTCACGCGATTTGTTTGCGTTAAATCCAACTATCATGAGATCATTAAGAATTCAGACACTCCTGGTCATCCGATCGGAAGAATGCAAACGGACTTGATTTGGAAATCATTGATATCCGCTGCAGATTTTCGGGGTTAGACATTGAGCAACTGAAAACTGGTATATATGATGAATTCGTCGTGTAAATGAGGCGTGAGCTGAAAAGCTAGGGAACATTACACCGCTCTGTCGGTATGATTGGTTCTCATTAGCAGTGCACGAATCCATTGACCCAACTGGAGTTCAAACCTCAGACCTCACGAGCAAGACGCAAGCATACCGCCCACCTGGTCACCGGGTGAACCGTTTCCAATTTTGAATATACACCACGTAGCACAATCCATTTATGCGAACTTGTTGCGAGTATTTAGTATATGCGCCACACACATGTTAAACGCGTGATCCGCTTGTCAAAACAGTCCTATGCCAGCACAGCTTTGATCCACGTACTTGGTCATTGAAAGACTAAAATTTTAGTTCATGCTGTGCAAACGGGAAGATTGTGTCTTCAAAATATGGATGAGATAACAGGCGAAGGTCAGTTTCGTGATCCGGATTTGGAGGATAGCCTCATTTGTAGATGAAATATCAGTGCGCCGAGTGACACGTTGGAGCTATGTGAAGCACATCCATATACGAGGTTCTGTGCACACCGGGGAGAAATGAAGCACTGCTTTTTGTCGAAATTTTCGATCACCATGACGTCGTTGAAAATTTGTTTTACCATAAAAAACTCTTTCGTATGACAGTTTTTATTTATCCCAAAAGTGTCTTAGGACAATCCACCTACTAGGATAAACGTTGGAATGAGTAAAGGACTAAGAAGCACTTGGTCACCTCACATCAGTCATGTCCAAAATAATTTTGGTAGCTGCTATTTACGTGATACGAGTGAATGTCACATCATCTAATCAATTAGCTGAGTTTAGTATTCTATCTTTCTTAATATCTCGGTGGCAGTTGAAATGACAAAAATAACTTTTATTGGATCCACTGATTATGCGAATGTCAGATGGAAGTTTGTTTTGTACCCAATAGAGCCGAAAATGTGTCTGCTCCTGAAACCGTACTTTACCCCTTCGGAAGACAAGTAAAAACAAGTTTCACAAGTCTGTGCGGCGAATCCAGACGGAACTGGTCCTCCCCCTGAATCGACAACAGAAACCCGGTCAACCAAACAATACCTAGAACACCTGAACATTTTCGTTAATGTGTCCGACCTCAGCTGCACGTCAATGTGAAGAAAACGTGCACTGTAATGTGACCCGCTCCATAATTGCGGTTTGCATGACCTTGAAGAACGTCACCGAAGGCCAGTCGTAAAGAGCTTACCAACAAATGCTAAGGCTCGCGCACAAATAAATGGGCTGGAATTCAGCCAGACCAGTGCGATTGCAATAGACGTGTACTGAGGTATCAAGGTACAATGGACTCACTGGTACGAGCCAATGTGTGCCTGTGTTCACCAAGCACAAAAAAGTGTAGAAGAACGAAGACCAATATGTGTGTGTTGTCGTATGGAACAGTCTGTGCGAAGTACATGCCACCGTGCATCTGAAGTAGAATGTCACTGTGGTGGTCATACAAATCGATTGTGGATAAAAAATTTTATGTCTGGTCCATCTCAGAATTGGTTCAAATTTCTCCATGATATCTATTGCGTCCTACGTCCAATGCATTCGTCAAGCACTATTCACTATCTTGTAGTAAAGTGTACCTACGTGAGGCACATCTCTGACATTTTCAGCTCTCATTGAACGTTTTTGGTTCATAGTTGTTATATTTGAACTATCCTGCGATTTTCCTCGTTTATTCAACTCCGCAACGGATACCCTGTTGTCCGATATCGTCTGTGTTTGAAGCGGGTACAAGCGTTGGCCTTAAATCACACGGAAACGCTCATTTCCGGCATATTGTGACAACACTACCGCATAACGGTAACATTCGTCACTTTGAACCGAATCAGTTACCTGTCATGGATTAGAAGCTATCGGCAGCACTGGGATAAATCCTGCGCCCCTAAGCAATCGATGGGACTGAAAACAATCTATACTATGGGTTCACCACAAAACTTTGCGCTTCCGTAGGTATGCTCGTGTTGTGCCATCGTACTGAAAGGCGATCGATGTTTTCATAAACAACGCAAGATATCAATCGATGACTGGAGTGACTCAAAAGAATGCAATCAATATACATAAAACAATAAAAGAAAATGTAAACTAGAGATTAGGAATTCAAGAGTTGCAATTTTTGTCTATGCATACTCCGCACAAATCCGACCTCAAAACCTCTCTGATAACGTATGATCTAACGACCACCTTGGATATCAACACACATATACTCGGATCAAAGTGAAGAGCTCGCTCCACNGATTGTGTATTCATACTCCGTGAAGTCAGACTCAAACAAAAACAATTTTACATACACACACACACACACGAGTGTCTGTGAAGTTGTTTCTATTGGATAGAAAAAGCAAGAAAAATGTCAATTCAACATTCCGTATTAATTGGAATCGGATTGTAGTGCAAACAACGAGACACAATAGAGCGAAATGATCTCCTGTGAAGCCAAAAATGAGGTTATCACCAGATACAGCAGGGTACTACTGAAAAACAGACAATAAGTCCGTTATCGACATGACAGTCAATTTGCAATCGATTCACACTGTGAAACCTTTAAAGATTAATGTTGATTGGTTTGTAAATCAATCGCAGTACACTGTCAAAGTCTATCTGGAGCATAGTCATAATACATGATAGTAAAGGCAAGTATTT